CCCCGCACAGCATCCCTGTGTGCCCCCCCCAACACAACACCCTCATCACACACCCCCCACCCAGCAGCAGCACCCGTGGGGACCCCCACCCAGCTGCTCCCCACCCACCTGGTCAGGGCTCTCGCACAGAATATTTTCTGGTTTCAGATCCCTGTGTGCTATTCCTGGGGGGGGGTGGGGAGAAGAAACGATGAGGGCAAAAATCCCACCCCTATGTCGTCGTCCCCCAAACAAATGCCCCTCCCAATCCCTGCTCCCCCCACCTCTCAGACCTCCCTGGCAAGAGCTCCACGGGTGGCACAGGGATCCCACCCTCCCTGACCCAAATCACCACCAAAAAATTGGCCCCAGGTCCCGGGCGAACCGGAGGAACAGGCTCAGCACCCAGAGCCTCGTGATGCTGCTGGGCCTGACCCTGCCTGCCCTAGGGCTGGCCCTGTCCCCTGGGCAGGATGGGGGGAGGCAGGAACCCCCCTGAGGGATGGGGGGGACGGTGACACCCCAGGACATCCCAGCTCACCCTTGTTGTGCAAGAAGTGCAGGGCACTGGCGATGTCCTGCACCACCATGCTGGCCTCCAGCTCGTTGAAGTGGCGTCTGCGGTGGATGTGCGTCAGGATGGAGCCTGTGGCCAGAGGAGAGGAGAGGTGAGGGGGGGCTCATAGTAGGGGTCCCACCACCCCAACCTCCTCCCCACGCTGGTACCAACACTCACCTCCTCTCATCTTCTCAAACACCAGGTAAAACCTCTCCTCCTCCTCGAAGAACTCAATCAGCTCCAGGACGTTCCTGCAGGGACAGAGGTATCAGCTCAGCATCCCCCCAAAATCCTTCCCAGGGTCCCACATCCCCACAGCCCCCCAACCCTGCACCCCCAACTCACTACAGACCCCCAGGGCAAAGGTGTAGGTGGGAACAGGATGGGAAAGTTGCATTTGGAGTGATTGAAACCACACGGCTGGGGCCCCTCAGCTGCATTCCAGGGGGGGGGAAAAAGAGGGACTTTCAGCTCCCTGATTGCTGGAAGCCCCTCCTGGCTCACTCACCCCTCTCCAGGACCTGGTGGAGCTCAGCTCAGCCCCCAGCACCACCCCAACTTGGCCCCCCCAACTCCCCCCTTGTCACAGCCCACCAGTTAACGGCGCCTTGAGATGCTCCCAGGGAGGGGGTGTGGGTGGGAAGGCAGCCTGGCTGGGGCACACGGGTGTCATGAATGTCAGCCCGGTCTCAGCCTACCCCCTGTGGCCACGGTGAGGGTGGGGACAGTGGCCACCCTGCTCTG